GGCCCATCAGTATACAAAACATTTTTTTTCAAACAAATCATGGACAATGTACAGAGGATGAAAACAATCATATTCCATTATAATACCCTTAATTTGTTTGCCTCATATATGAATTTTCCTAGTATACACAATTCTTTAATATTATGGACACTCAATAACTAGACGACTTTAAACACAGATGTTTTTTTCCAATAATAGCTTTTGATAAAACGAGATCTGAGATTTTGGAACTTAGAACAGACCAATAAAAAATGAAATTCGTCCTCTAATTCAGAGGGGGAGTTAAACTGTTTACAATATCTACGTTCTCTAGGTATATTATTATACCTTCCAACTTCTATAGCTAAAGAATGGGTAGATGTACGTATTCGAGTTAAACAAATGCGTTATTTCTTTGGTATATATTTTGAGAGGTAAAATTGTAATGTTTCTCCAGAATCTATTATATGTTTATACAATAAACATTTTGGAGAGTTTTCCACTGTGGCCCTTAGGAATTGTATGCCTTGATCAAAAATTCTTTGTTTTATCAATGGTAATAACAAATTTTGCTGAGAGATACATGGATTTAACCAAACATCACTAAGACCTAGATTATTTAATTCATCTCTTACTGCTATAGCCCAGTTGAAATCATTTCTACTACAACACTGTAATAAAAACCTATAGGAAGTTGATATAATACAATTTTTAGATTTTAATAATTTAAAGCAATATTTTATCATTCTAATTTTTCTCATCCAAACTAGAGGTAACCGTCCCAATTCAAGATATACCATGTTGTTATTGGCCGATTTCTTCACTTTTAGTAGTTTCTTACAAAAATGTAAATGTACAGGTTCTATCTCTGGAGCTTAATGCATACACCTAATTTCACTTGCATAGAAAAGGATACTGCTTACATATGTATCGAAAAGATGGAGCATAGTTTTTACATTTAAGTTTAATGATGAACACTTTGCAAATAATGCAAACATAGCTTTTCGTCCTTGGCTAGCTAATTGTTTTTGTATAGATGTGAATTTATTGTTGTAATTTAAAATAACACCTAGGTAAGGAAATTGATCCACACATTCAACCTTACTTCCTTTGTAATACCATTTTTCCTCATTATGCAATCTTCCACCTTTTCTAAAAACTACAATTTTTGTCTTTTCAGCATTTACAGTTAAATTCCATTCAGTACAATATTTTTCTAAATTATCAAGCATATCTTGGAGACCTTCTACAGTCTCGGAGAATAATACCAGATCATCAGCATATAGCATCAGATATAAACTGAGTTCCTCAAACTCATAACTACCCTTGCAATTTTGTATAAAATATGATTCAAAATCATTTATATACATAGAAAAAAATATCGGTGACAGAATTTCACCCTGTAATAATCCAACCCTGTTAAGAAAAAAATCTGACAACTTTCCATCTAATTTAACACAAGATTTAACATGAGAGTACATAGACCTTACAACTTGTAATAGCTTTCCTCTTATACCAAGTTTTGATAGCTTATTCCATAAATTTATTCTATTTACCATATCAAATGCTTTACGAAAATCGACAAAGCAACAATACAATCTTTTCTTATTAATAAATGATTTGGATATAATAGAATGTAAACAAAATATAGCATCTACTGTACTAAGACCAGGTCTAAACCCAAATTGAGCATCAGTTATTACATCATATGTTTCTGACCATTTTAAAAGTCTATTGTTTAAAACAGAAGTGAATAATTTTCCTAAACAACTTACTATACTTATACCTCTAAAATTGTTAGGGTCAGTTAGGTCACCCTTTTTATGTACCGGTGTAATTACAGCAACTGCCCAATCAGCAGGATAGAGACCAGAGTCCAATATATTGTTAAAAAGTTTACACAAAATAGGTAATAAAATATCCCTCCCTACCAATAAACTTTCATTTAAGATGCAATCTATACCATGGGATTTTCCCTTCTTTAAATTACTGATTGCTTTGCAAATTTCATCAATAGTAATTACTTGGTCCAATTCTTCATATAGTGGTACTTCATCTGAATGATTGTGAGATTGATCAGGTTCTTGATCAGAGTTATCGTTCCTGGCCAAATTTTTGAAGTGCTCAAATAAAACTTTCAATTCAATATCTGGTTTCTTGGACTTGGTTGCAGTGAAATTTCTGTAAAATTCCTTAGGATTGTTAAATCTCATGTATTCAAGCATGTCGCCTTCACACTTTAAGTACATTCTTTTTTTCATAGATTCTTTTAATTTATAGTTCCTTTTCTTCTCCACAAGCAGAGCATGATTAAATACATTTTTTTCCTTATTGAAGTTATACAGAGCTGATTTGTACAAGTTGTACAAAGTTTTCAATTCCATATCAAACCATGGTTTATCAGTATTAAAATTGATTAACCCATCTCGGCATGTATAATTATGGTTATCTTGATTGGCATCACAATATTTAGTTAGTTTTACAAGGAAAAGTTCCATAGATTTCATCAGTATTTCAGTAAAACTACTCACACTAGTGTTAATATCAGACTGACTAACAGCATCAGGGATGGTTACAGCAACACATAGGTTCTCCTGATTGTCAGACAACAAATTTAAAAAACAATCCTTAAATTCATCATTCCATTTGTATAATGGTTTACGCTCACCACTTTCAGTAACATCATGTGTAACAGTGTGATGAATCCGACATTTTAATTGAATATGCAACGGAGCATGGCCAGAAAATACATTAAAATTTGAAATTATAAATTGTTCCAGAATATTAAATAATGAATCTGTAATTATACAGTAATCTATAGTACTCATGCCGTTGTGTCCATAGTATGTAAAATCATTAGAATATCCTTGTTGGCTAGACCTCTACATTTTTTATTTTTTTGTAATTCGTTCCCGAGAAAGATTGAGATTTGCTTCAATTTTCGGTGTTGGAAATTTCTTCATTTTTATTCATCTAATTAAATAAATTGTGATGTTGGCAATTGAATAAAAAAAACCACACACATTAAATGAATCCAAATTTCTTTATTATAAGTAAAATCTCCAAACAATAACAATGTCAACTTGTAAACCCACGGATATAGCATGACTTAGTAGACTCGTAAATATTGTGCAATAAGGGAAATAACTCCAAATGAACAATGGTTCCCTAGAGATTCTTTATACAAGTAATTTTAAACTATCAAAAAATATTATTTAACCTAAATGAAAAATATCCAAGATAGCTACCCAGAAAGCCATCTTAAATTATATATTGCTTGCATACTCGATGAACAAATACTCCATTTTGATTCAGGTTTAAACAACTTTACAATAAGCTATTTGTTTTTTTGCTGATACCCATAATTACAAGTTTGATCATAGTTGCTCAACTTCCACATGGAAAGGAGAATGAATTCTCCAACATTCAATCATTCAGTAATTCGCATCAAATACGGTAGACCTTCCTTGACTTCTTTACATGAATTTTGATTTCTAATTTAGTTGAATTCTGGTAGACATGGAGAAATCGAGACGTTTTCAGAGTTGTAGAAAAGGAAAAAACATAAAGGAAATTATGAATGACTAAGTAGTACTGTCAATACATATAACATTCTATGTACAAAATGTATTAAACATGATCAGGCGATATGTCAAAGGAACGACATTTAAAAACAAGACTAACTTGTAAAGGTCAACAGCCACTTTGTCTTTAACACACAACAGACCAACATCTGTGTCTCACTCACAGTACAGTTTGAATGGTTTATGTAAATTAGTGTAAAACAGAGATTCACATTGATGCTATAATACTTCTACTTAATTTCTAAAATATTATCACTGGTAAGTACGGCAAATAAAACAACCTTTACTCTCACGTAGTGTGAACAGACTGACAATGAAGGGCTTACTACACGTATGTCATTAGTCCCAATTATTCTAACGTTTTTTTATTGACTTTTTTTTTTCGGTCTGTTATAAAAAAGTCGATAAAACGTCAGAATAATTCGGACGAGTATGTCATGTACAATAAACATACATTAAATTCAGTTTTCAAAAATATTCACAACTAACAAATTTCAACACAATAAAACAATTTAAATTTAACTGGTTATATATTTGATTGTAGAAACAGGATTCTATGAAAGTGGGGTTTAGACTATTCACAAGATGATATATAATATTTAATATCGAAGTTTTACTTTCTATGATAGCTTGGCAAAGAGACCAGTCGGTCTTGAAACGTTGTGACACGTTAAATACGTGCAGTGTTTGGGTAGAAAGTAAAACTTTGATATCACATATTTCCAAACTGATGAATCTTATTGAATATATAAGATGATATATATATATTTATAAATAGTGTCCAAGGAATGTAATGTTGAACATTGTCAACTCCCATCCCAATAGCGGCATGTTGGTGTCACATATAGCAATATAACGCACACACACATATGATTGTTACTTATTAAACCACCATCTCGTTTGCCGAGCTTCTTTTAAAGTTTGTACATGGTTATTTTAAGTTTTTGTCATAATTCTGAGATTGAAATACATCAACAATTTAGTACTATCCATTTACACCAAATATTGCCCATCTGCATCCTTTATCAAATAAATTCACTTCTTCAGTTTCCTGGTTCAGTGTGAATAGATTATGAAAGTTGACAATACGTATCTGGATGTATACAGGAACCTGTAGTAGACAGTGAACAATTCGGGACAAAGCAAGCTTTGTAAGCTTAATCACACAAATTTACATAAAATTTCAATTAGTGATATTTGCATACAGTATTTACATTTATTAAGTCTATATAAATATACATGATGTGAGATTCAAAGTGACCAACCATTTTGATATTATACAGTGATGTGTCCAAAGTCTTTCATTTTACGTTATTTTTTTCCATTGGAATCTGTATTTGTTCCTATTGGGTTTTATGCTTATTTTTTGTTTCCAACTAATTTCTTAACCCTTTCACCCCTATGTAACTTAAATAAACTCTACCATAAATTGATCTGGATGAGTCCATCGTGGTCTACAGTGTTGAAAGGGTTAACTTCTTTTTTCATCCAATAAAATTTTTATTTTTCTTGCAGCTGAAGAATTATTCACTTTATTCAAACAACATAACGTGAAAAACAACACTGTTGAAAGTTGATTTATTGTCACAGCTAGTGATGGGTGCTATACCCAGACCCTGATAAACAAAGCTGATGTCTAAGTGACAGTTAACACAAACAATTGCCTACCAACAATACTATTGCAGGATTGTCTAACATCGCTCAAAACATTTATCACTTGACAAATATGGAAATGGTAATACTGAAGGTAACATGGCCCACTAACTTTCAATTGAACCCACGTACAAAATAATACACAATAACACTCTATTCCATTTCCTATAAAATATCACGTAAAATACTACACACTGGAAGAAATTAAAACACTCAAAAAAAGATGTGTCCAGAAAACCAAATCAAATATAGGGTATCAGTAGTACATGTAAAACATAACAAACTGGTATTTCATCATTGTTATCACAATAAAGGTGTTAATAGGGTTGTAACTGATATAAACAATACTGTTATCATATATAATTAATAGTTTTAATTTATTTTTATTTTAAAAGTTGAAATTCCTGCATGCGGAAATGCTCGCTTTGTGACACTTTAATGTGATCACAGTGTAGATATTTTCGCATTGGCATAGTTCTAAACTCGCATGTAGATATTGCAAGCATTTTTACACTGCAATAATTTTCACTTTCACAGTAATCACTGTTATCAATAAACAGAAACATGAATTACCACAATTGTAAATACATTCCTACTCTTATTTTTGCACCAAGTAACCTGTCATTAAATATTTTGAGTAGAACACTCTTACATACACACGTACACTTGTCACTCACGCGTCACAACTTTTGTTGGCATTGTCTTTCAAATGGCAATGTCAAAATCCTGTCATTTCTTTGCTTTAGAACTGACAGAAGATACAAACATATGTGTTGGGTATTTTTTATACTGACAGGCGAGGCTAGTACTTGCAACCTGCATCAACTATGCGTTAGGAAGGAGTGGGGGGGGGGAACAAACAATGGCGCAAGTGTAATTATGTACCGATGTACACAGGGGAATAACAACAACAACAACTAGGTATATCTCAGGAACGATCTACCAATCTCTAGTTGAGAGTACTGCTGGTCATATTGGTAGATGACACGGGTCTGATAGGAGAACTATAGCTATCAAAAGAAAATTGTTGGCATTGTCTATTTGTCAAAAAATCAAAAATGAATTCATGATAAAGTTTATTACACCTAGTATGGTGCGAGTAAAAAGTATTTTGGATTAAAGTTTTTATCACAACCCACAGGATATTGATCCCCTATTCAGTCACTAACGCCTTTTGTAACTAAGATTGCACAGATTTCCTATATTGTTGAATGCTGTAATTGAGGATCAAAATGTTCATGGGATTTCATTAACTCCTAAGGAAGATTTTGAACTGAATCGATTGTTACTTTATACAAAATTTCAAAGAACTTATAACTTCTTTGACAATATCAGTAATGAATATGTTTAAAAAGAATATACCTAAGAGTAAGCAAATCAACAACTTTATTATACTCATTATCATTTCAGAGTACTCCTCTCATCTTAACGTAAAAGTAACAAACAAGTCATATACACATATGTTAAAGCTTTCATTGATAACAGAGACATCATATTACAATGTACTTTGAAAAACAATTTGCATCCGTATATCATGTATCAAATGTACACGTGTTGCATTGTAAATTCACTTTGGAAAGTTCAAACGTGAAAGACATGAAAATCACCAGGAAAATCACATTGATATGATATCATATACTTAATATGTTGTGGGGGATGTAAAATCACGATCATCATGAAAATCATGATTGCTTACAGAGAAAGTGGGAACTTTCGCGGGTTCATGTTTTGACACTTTATATGATCTTTGCTCCAGCAATAGTTCTGATATATATATATATATACATTAAAGCGTTACAGATCTATGAGTTCTGATTTTTGAACTTTTCATATACACTCGTATCAACATTCATGCGTGGATCTTTTAACACTAATTTACTCAACGCAAAAAAACACAAGAATCCCCACATAACGAAAATTTCCACTTAAACAGAATTCGCAACTCATTACTACCCACTGTTGTAGATAAGCTTGGCATGTCACCATTTCTACCTACTGTTGTACCTTGGCATGTCACATCACTAATCCTTATAACAGAGTATGAGCTACAGACTCAGTAGCCATTAAGTCTGTCCTAAGATTTCGAAAGGTCAATACAAGAATAGATCCTCAACATCTCTGGTGAGGCTCATTGGAGAACAGGAGTGTATGCTTAAAATGCAAATTTAGCAATCTGTAAATTTGATTTTGAATCTAGTTCAGTGGATTTGCCTTTTTGATCTACCTTTGGCCTTGCCAGGGGGCTTGTAATGGTCCTTACAGAATGTTGTGATCCTTTGGCAGGCTTCCTCCAGCTTGGCTGTGGGGATAGTCAACACCACACGGAAGAAATTGGGATACTGGAAGCACTGCAAGTATACAGGGGGAATGCTCTTTAACCATCCAAAATATATTGAAGTCTTTAAACTTGACATTTGTGGTTAGGGAGATTATTCGGCTACATATGAACAAATTTCAAAACATGATGATATTCCTATATATTAAGGAAAACAAGAAACTTGTTTCTGTGAACAAAAACATATGTCTCCCCGTATAAGCCAATAGACAAACTTCGGTACAAAAAAATAACAAAGGGCCATATCTCTTTATATAGTGGGGCATGAGACCCAAATTTAGAATGCAAGACTCCTACTTCCCAAGATACATAACTTTAGCAAGTTTTGTCAACGTAGGTGAAATAACATGGAAGTAATGCTGTGGACAAACTTCGGTATTAAAAACAAACAAAGGGCCATAACTTTATATATTGTGGGGCACGAGACCCAATTTCAGTGCGAGAGATTCCCCCTTCCTAAGATACATAAATATGGTAAGTTTGGTCAATGTAGGTGAAATAATATGAAACTTATACTCCAGACAAAATTAGATATTAAAAATAAACAAAGGGCAATAACTCTGTGTATAGTGGGGCACGAGACCTAATTCTAGTGCACTGCACACCTTTTGTGGGTGATGCAGGTATATCTTAAATTTGATTAAAAAACCTTTAATGGTTTAGAAGTTAAGCTGTGGACAAACTTAGATATAAAAAATAAACAAAGGGCCATAACTCTATATAAAGTGGGGCACGAGACCCGATTTTAGTGCGAGAGATTTCGCTTTTCCAAGATACATAAATATGGTAAGTTTGGTCAACGTAGGTGAAATAACATGAAACTTATGCTCCAGACAATCTTCATTATTAAAATTAAACAAAGGGCCATAACTCTGTATATAGTAATGCACGAGATCTAATCCCAGTGCACTGCACACCTTCTGTGGGTGATGCAGGTATACCTCAAGTTTGATCAAGATATCTTTAATGGTTTCAAATTTACGGGCCAAACAAGAATTTACTGAAAATGTTGCACTTATTTGACCTTTGACCTTGTGGTGAAGATCACAGTGACCTAATTCCAGTGCATTGCACACCTTCTGTGGGTGATGCATGCATACCTCAAGTTTCATCAAGATATCTTTAACAGTTTAAACTTATGGCCCAGACAAGTTGCGATTAGAAGAACCAGAAGAAGAACCAGTACTTATACAATATGTCTCCCTTCATTCGAAGGGGAGACATAATTAGGCACAACTTAAAAAAGTATCCACAATTTCAGATACAGTATTTGTGACAAGACTTTCATTTTAAAACTGAAAAATTGTATAATATATCAGTACTTACCTGTCCAGGTAAGCAAAACACACTCTGCTCTTTCACCATCTTCTCTGTAAAATCAATGTCATCCCTTACACCCTGAAAGTTGTCCTTGTCGATGCCAATCTGTCAACAAAAATCACATGCATGTACATGTTTATTGGGGATCAACAAATAGGAAATTCATGTAAGAATCCTAAAACTTGTATAAGAACAATCAATTTTTTTAAACAAGTTGAGTGACACCTACCATCATATACATAGCACCATTTGGTTTGACAGGTTTCAGACCAGGTATTTTGGAGACCTTCTTGTAGAACAACTCTGCATTACTCTCCACATATCCAATGATGTCATCAAAGAATGTCTGTGGTGTCTTGGTCAAGATGTCTGGTACTGCAGCTTGTACTAGAGAGTTGGGGCCGAGGATTCTCTGAGATAGACTCAACAAGCCCTTTTTCACCTGTGTAAGAGTAAAGGTAAGAAATATATGACACACTCAACAAGCCCTTTCCCACCTGTGTAAGAGTAAAGGTAAGAAATATATGACACACTCAGCAAGCCCTTTCTCACCTGTGTAAGAGTAAAAGTAAGAAATATATGACACACTCAACAAGCCCTTTCCCACCTGTGTAAGAGTAAAGGTAAGAAATATATGGCACACTCAACATGCCCTTTCTCACCTGTGTAATAGTTAAGGCAGGTATCATGTGACAAGCCAATTCTCACCCACTCACTGTTTATTTTCTCACATGTTTAGAGACAATTTTAAATTTTGATTGCACATATTTTCAATGAACTTCATCAGAGAGTTCAGATCATTTTCACATTCTTAATTTTGTTTCTTGAATTCTAAAATGAAATCTAACATTCAAAAAACAAGCTTCAATTTTTAAGTTAAACAAATTTCATTGACAAGCAAGGTGGAAAAGTTTGGGGATCATCAACTTTACCTATTCCGTGTCAGCAGTATACATAGTGGAGACAATGTTACTTATCAGTGTAGGGGAGGCAACTCCTATCAACAAACTGTGAGTCGTACCATACTTATGTTGGATACTCTAACCCACACAGGAAAACACTTTTTGTCAGTTACCCTGTGGAGTAAGGAAGCAGGAACAGGTCCCAAGGAATATGCAGGGACGTAATCTAATGATTCACTTTAGGAGTTGTTTCAAGTATTTAGGCTAGTATACATCAAATTTAGTTTGTTTGAATCATTATTACATTATTTTGTAATAAATCCATACAGTATAACCTGTCTAAACCCGGAAATACTTTAGGAGTTGTTTCAAGTATTTAGACTATTATACATCAAATTTAGTTTGTTTGAATCATTATTACATTATTTTAAATAAATCCATATAGTATAACCTGTCTTAACCCGGAAATATGCAGGGACGTAATTTAATGATTCACTTTAGGAGTTGTTTCAAGTATTAAGCCTAGTATACATCAAATTTAGTTTGTTTGAATCATTATTACATTATTTTTAATAAATCCATACAGTATAACCGGTCTAAACCGGATGTCACTGGGACCAAACTATTTGGCCTGTTGACACAGGTGTCTGTTTATACAGGGTCGGCATGTCACTTTTTTTAAATACAAAAATGTAGTGTTTTGCATACAATCTGTATACAAGTGTGTCAACATGAACAACAGAGAAATGAATAAATTGAAACTTTTTTTACAAAATATACAGTATATAATACAAATGAAGGGCGACCCGACATTGGATAGCAGTAATTTGTTAAATGTGTTTGCTTTAGATTGTAGCCGGCCGAGAAAAATTTAAGGAGCGGAATTTGTGAAACAACGCCAGTTTTCGGAATGGACAGGGTCAGGTTTATACAGGGTTTAACTACTATGATTATAAAGGTAATATGCCGGGACCAGAAAACACAGCCAGCTTAGACAGGGATCTGAATAAGACCAGGGCCGGTTTAGACAGGTTATACTGTATAAAGTATTAAGAGCTAGATGATAGTGATCATCTGAAGGAGGTTTTGATATTTCCTTAAATATACATGGTTGAGATTGAAATACAGATAGGGAATCTAGCAATATAGAACCTTAGATATAGTCTCAACACTTGTAGAAATTCTTTCCTCTGTATGACATACTGACATTTTAATGACATAAATCATGACTATTTTGAAAAACAGTATTACAAGTATTACAGATGGTTTTATATAAGAGTTATCTACCTTATGTACAAGGACATGTTATACAGAAACACTTACTGCCTCGAGAGAATCATTCCTGTCATGGATGATAATCCACCCCAGTCGCCATCCCGGTACCAGGAATCTGTTGTGTACAAAAGATAGCTTTAATATTTTAGACAATTTACACATTATGTTTAAAATTATATTCATTTCCTAAGTATTTCCAAATCAATTGGTGTTGTTTGAATTTTTAGTATCAACAAAAGATGACATATGTTTGATTACTGGTGTATAGACTCATATATCTACATAGCATGTGAATGGCATGGATCTGTACCTTTTGGTGAGGCCACTGCAGGACAAGATGGGTACATTCTTGGACAGAGATCCCAGGGAATGGTACACACTGCTGGAGAACACCTGTAAATCAAAACAAAACAATTACAGTATCTACTCTCTATTTATCTCAGGGACTCACAGTTCTGTGGTGACTCTAAGAATACTCAGCAGAGTGCCACTACCTGTGCCTGACTTTATTTACTCTCATTTGGTCATCACAGGAAAACGCAAAGTTGTTTGATAAAATTTGGATTTATTTATTTACAACTTGTAAAGCTAGAACACTGAAGGGTCAGCAAAGGCCTGTTGTGAGCCTGACCATATATAGAGGCATAGCAGAATACCGATATTCTTCGTTCGTGCAGAAACACAAGTGAAGACATACATGTATATCACTATGGTCTGCCATGCAACAGAAATATATAGCATTTAACAGGTACGCTATTAAATTTTCAATTTATGACATCTTAGAACTACTTTCAACAACAAAATGTAACAGTTGGTGATTTAATAACAGCAATTTAAAAATCAGTTGGCAACAAGGCAAAATGGCATTTTGAATCGGTTACTCAACTCAGTTCTACTGTTTTCTGCTTTTATCTAGTAAGACTTGCTAACGTAAATGGTATCAATTGTACAGGTAAATTAATATGTTAGTGTATGTAGTAAAGATTATCAAAACAACAACTTGTTCTAAGTTCTCTTCATCTGTATTGAACAGCAAATATGGGCTTTGAATGAAGTGAATAGTAAGTACAATTCTGATTGGTCAATACCATAATGATGTTTTCGCACTGTGAAAATATCACTTAGACATCTGTTACAGTGTAAAAAATATCAGTTTACCAAGCTGATTGTAACAAATATACATGAATATTGTAAACATCGTAACTTCATAAAATGCCTAGTATGGCATTATTAACACGGGTATCCCTCAAATATGACACAAATGAAACTGAGAAAACACTCAGAAATTATAGCCCAAAAGGTTTGGGTCAATCGGAAGCTATGGTGGCCATCTTTAATTATGGAACCTTGGTAGTATATGGTGGCCATCTTTAATTATGGAATCTTGATAGTATATCATTTTTCACCAAGTAGACTATCCCAACAAGTACCAACATTTACCATCACCAGCGTAAACAAACAATACCAATAGAAAGTTATAGCAATATACTTCCTAACTAATTACAAGTGGTGAACGGAAGCCTGGTAGTCTGGTAGCCTTCATAGATGACAGATAGACAGACTGATTATAAAATTCCAATATGAGTTTCATCAAAGACAGGTTAATAAAATAAATCACTTACAAAATGTTCATAGATTTCATCTGAGATAATTGGAAGACGACAATCTTCAGCAACAGCCAGAATATCTAGGATGTGTTTTTTGCTGTACACAGACCCACATGGATTAGATGGGCTGTTCACCACGATGGCTGCAGTCTTTTTATCAACTAGGGAACGTAGATGGTCTAGATCAATCTCCCAAGACTTTTCTGGCTGAAGAGGAAAGTTTCATTATCTTTTTACAATATCTAATTTATTTGCTCTGCTTAACTGTACCTGAAACAATAGTAATATGCTTGTATACTTCTCCAACAAATATTACCTCAAGATTTAGGAAGCGTTACTTTCGTAAAACTGTCAATTAATTGTTTGTTTTTCTTATTTTTCATTTTCATATTTATTTATCTTAGTTCCATTAAGTTAATATTTTTGACAGAATTGACTGACTAAACAGAATTAGGACCTTAGTACATACATACCTGAAGATTGTAGAGGCGGACCTCTATACCGATGGCTTCGGCCAGAGTTTTGTAGATAGAGAAGCCAGGCCGAGGCAGAAGTATATTACTGCCCGCATTGGCCAGCACAGTGATACACATCTCCAGGGCCGAGGAACAGCCGTTCGTTAAAATCACATCCTATTTAAAAATTCAATTAACAGTCAAAACTATATCCATTAACACAAGTACAGTCAAAATTACATCCTGTTAAAATATGTCAAATCATTAAAATTATCTCATATTCAACATATGAACTACATTTCTATTTTTATAGTTACATATGCTACAATATATTATTCAATCTGATTCAAATCAAAAGCTTTACTATATTTCAGTATGATAAACCACGTGTATGTGTAGGATCTAGCAACACCGTGTCTTCGGGTGTCGTGCTCTGGTGTGATTTTAGTCAAGCCAATCCATGTGACACACTCAACCCACCAAAGGTCACCAGAAAATGACCCCCAGAGTAATATAAGCTCCTACACGGTATTATTTATGTTTCAAAGGAAGGGAGTGAAGATTTGGTTTAAATCAGACTGAATAATACTAAGTTAAATTAAGTGTAATAAACGATCACCTTGTCATGACATAAGTTATTCAATCACATATTCTACTCTAATCATCACATCTTCAATTTTTTTCTTTACATAATTTCACTAACATAAAACTAGAGAAAAAAATGTAAAAGTAAGATATACCTCATTAATGTACACTATATAAATATGCATAAATTAGCGAATTGTGTTAATTAATTTGTCAATGTCAACATAAATCCTACAGGATATATATTATTTTGAGAATTACCTACAAAGAAACAAACAGCTACATAACATGTACTATTTATGAGACAGATGTAAAACAAAGTCTGACCTTGGAGGTGACAGTGACCTCTGCAGTACTCGAGTATTCTGCAACAGCTGCTCTTGACTCTTCATAGCCTGGAAACAAGAACAGATTCAATATCATTACGCATTGAAAAACACAATTTTTTTTCAGCCATAGTCAGCCATTTGGTGACTAATAGAATACTGTGACTTTTGAATGTGTGAACAGACAAACAAATCTGCCTTCAGATGACTTTTGACATACATGTGTCCTTGACCATTGACCCAGTGACCATGTAATACATGTAATTTGAATTAACTATAATATTGGCAGGTCAGCAAGGGCCCTGCCATGTGCCTGACCATAACCCCCTCTCCCACCAGTAAACTTTTACTTGACCTCATAATAAACATTTTAAACTTGTATTGCATACAGTTTGTACATTTCACAGCGTATCACCATGTCAAATTTTAAAAACTCAGTCTTTTGGATTCTGAAATAAGGGCTGTACTCCATAGTCTATCTTTAGTAAAAGTGAACCTTAGAAATGTTTTAAATACCTGCTCTATCTAGCAAACATAAGCCACTCTAAAGTGTTTTACAGTACATAGATCTACAATTAATATAATTAGCATATACATTAATCAATACAATTTTCAGGTGCTAACTACTAGTCCTATGCCACCAGGCTAATACCTCCCTATGTGTGTATGCCTAAGATGTACTGTGTTCAGTTGTAACCACCTCTGACACAGTACAGTAGTCATATATACATACCTATGGACGGGTTGTAACCATTGTATTTGCCAGCCTTTACAGATTTGATCACAGCGTCCTCTATATTCTTGTCCAGTGGCAAGTTACCAAATACAGTTGGGTCACCTGAAAAATTACACAATATATCATTCAAGCATAATATGTACAATAGGTGTAGGGACTGCATTAATTCCATTATCTAATTGCTGAAGCAGTTTTTTAAACGTCACAGTTTAACCTTAAACTTGACCTTAAATCCGGGTTTGTGAAAGACTTTACAAAAATCTTATTGTTGATAAATGTATTATGTACAGCACAGTAAGTACTGACACAGTACACATAAAACTCATATATTTGTAATGTTCACTAGACATGACTCTTCCTTGACTGACAGAAATAATTCATTTTTGTACGGAGACATATATAAAGAGACAAATTTGTCTTATTGCCTAGTAGAGCTATACAGTATGTGAAAAATTGCAAACATGTTCTGAATAATTAGAATATACATTTGCAAGCTTAGAGGCAAAAAATGTTTCATGAACTACTGAAGAGATATGTCATATGACTAATACATACTACATCAACATGAAACAATAACATATATTCTATTTATTTCTCAAACTCATCAAACTAACAACTTTTAACTGAAATCCTTTAATTGACAAATATATGTTCCTGATGAATGACACCTTGATTATGCATGAGGTGTGTAAAATTAAAAGTTGGTCACAGGTCCAGAAACACAAATTAATGTTGTGGACACATATTAGCAACAGATGGAATAAATCAATTGTTGACCCAGAAGAACATACCCATAGACAGTGGACCCAGAAATATATAGACAGTGGACCCAAAAATACATACCCATAAACAGTGGACCCAGAAATATATAGACAGTGGACCCAGAAATATATTAGACAGTGGACTCAAAAATACATACCAATATACAGTGGACCCAGAAATATATAGACAGTGGACCCAGAAATATATAGACAGTGGACCCAAAAATACATACCCATAGACAGTGCACCCAGAAATATATAGACAGTGGACCCAAAAATACATACCTATAGACAGCGGACCCAGAAAAATATAGACAGTGGACCCAGAAATATATACCCATAGACAGTGGACCCAGAAATATATAGACAGTTGACCCAGAAATATAAAGACAGTGGACCCAGAAATATATAGACAGTGGACCCAAAAATACATACCAATAGACAGTGGACCCAGAGATACATACCTATAGACAGTGGACCCAGAAATATATACCTATAGACAGTGGACCCAGAAATATATAGACAGTGGACCCAAAAATACATACCTATAGACAGTGAACCCAGAAATACATACCTATAGACAGTGGACCCAGAAATATATAGACAGTGGACCCAAAAATACATACCTATAGACAGTGGACCCAGAAAAATATAGACAGTGCCTGAGTGGACCCAGAGAATACCCATAGACAGTGGACCCAGAAATATATAAACAGTGGACCCAGAAATACATACCCACAGACAGTGGACCCAGAAATCCATACCTATAGACAGTGGACCCAGAAATATAAAGACAGTGGACCCAGAAATATAAAGACAGTGGACCCAAAAATATACAGACAGTGGACCCAGAAATATATAGACAGTGGAACCAAAAACACATACCTATAGACAGTGGACCCAGAAATATATAGACAGTGGAACCAAAAATACATACCTATAGAAAGGGCAATCATATCCTTTTCAGGATGTGGTGTTATCTTCATGGAATCCACGATACTTCGGATAGGATTAAATGTGTTCTTGGCAATTGTAGAGACAGGAATGCTCCAATCCTTTCGACGTCTTTTTGCTGCTGGTTCCATCTTTATTGAATATGATGATTGTAAAACTGTTTTCTGTGAATTATTTGGCAAGACAGCTCAGCTCTCGACTAGGATGTCTTGCTGTGTTGTGTAAACGTCTGACTAGTATACTTGGAGGTACAAATCTATCTGACTTGTAGATAATGCAGCACACGTTTACTTGTTTTAACTTATTATCTTCATTTCATAGTCCACTTAGATCCTGGAGCAAACACTTCCTTGATATTCTGAAGATGAATATAAAACTGTTTTAGTAAAACTACAAACAAGATCCTTTTTATCTGCATGATGAGCCACACACATCCTGTCAACATGTACAAATATTATTACAATTGTCCTGTGTAAATCCTGTTCCAATTACATACTGTCCACTCACCTGTCATAAGGTAGATTTAACACTGAATGAATTTTACACCAACATTCTAAGAATTATTTCACATAAAACACATAAAAAATAAAGATAAAAAAGAGAAGTAAAAATATTAATGCTCTTTCAAATTTATTAATAAAGTTTCTAAGAATTATTTTACATGAAATGAGCTTGGTATGTAGGAACCAAATAATTCATTTAGCTACATGACTTACATTTCTAAGAATTAGTTTACATGACATAAGCCTGTGTGAAGCAATTTTTTTTTTCATTAAAATTGTTTTTACTGTAACATTTCTTACAATTATTTTACATGAAGAAAGTTTGTGGAATGGCAGTATTAAATGTACTCTGGGATACATAATTAGACTGCAATGTTTATATGTCTTGTTTCCCAATAAAGCTAAACATTGTGGAAACAAACAATCATCAAGTCCAGTGATATCCTAACGACGAATATCACATCAGATTAAGTGTACCTACCAGGTCAACAGCCATACATGTACTGGAAGTTTCCACACTAGTTTAGTCTAATACTTCAACACCCTATAGACTGTGTTGGATAATTCCTAGTATTAAGTGTACCTACCAGGTTAACAGCCATACATGTACTGGAGGTTTCCACACTAGTTTAGTCTATACTTCAACACCCTAGAGACTGTGTCGGATAATTCCTAGTATTAAGTGTACCTACCAGGTCAACAGCCATACATGTACTGGAAGTTTCCACACTAGTTTAGTCTAATACTTCAACACCCTATAGACTGTGTTGTATAATTCCTAGTATTAAGTGTACCTACCAGGTCAACAGCCATACATGTACTGGAAGTTTCCACACTAGATTAGTCTAATACTTCAACACCCTATAGACTGTGTAGGATAATTCCTAGTATTAAGTGTACCTACCAGGTCAACAGCCATACATGTACTGGAAGTTTCCACACTAGATTAGTCTAATACTTCAACACCCTATAGACTGTGTTGTATAATTCCTAGTATTAAGTGTACCTACCAGGTCAACAGCCATACATGTACTGGAAGTTTCCACACTAGTTTAGTCTAATACTTCAACACCCTATAGACTGTGTTGTATAATTCCTAGTATTAAGTGTACCTACCAGGTCAACAGCCATACATGTACTGGAGGTTTCCACACTAGTTTAGTCTATACTTCAACACCCTAGAGACTGTGTCGGATAATTCCTAGTATTAAGTGTACCTTTACGAGGTTAACAGCCATACATGTACTGGAAGTTTCCACACTAGATTAGTCTAATACTTCAACACCCTATAGACTGTGTTGTATAATTCCTAGTATTAAGTGTACCTACCAGGGTAACAGCCATACATGTACTGGAGGTTTCCACACTAATTTAGTCTATACTTCAACTCCCTATAGACTGTGTCGGATACTTCCTAGTATTAAGTGTACCTACCAGGTTAACAGCTATACATGTACTGGAGGTTTCCACACTAATTTAGTCTATACTTAAACACCCTATAGACTGTGTCGGATAATTCCTAGTATTAAGTGTACCTTTACCAGGTTAACAGCCATACATGTACTGGAAGTTTCCACAATAATTTAGTCTATACTTCAACACCCTATAGACTGTGTCGGATAATTCCTAGTATTAAGGTACACCTTTTTCGGGTTATGTCTAGGAATAGAAAGATTGGATTTCACTACATTAGCAACAACAAACACTTAAATTAGCTTGTTTAAATCCAATTGCATATAATTGATGTTGACTGTGCATAATTTTAATGGTTCATGTATTAAATTGAATGTACATTCAATCTAACAGCATTGTAAACTATGTTTTATGTATACTAAACAATTATTATATCATAAAAGAGAGAAGCTATATCATTAGGTATACACATCTAGTTTCCTGGTACAGACTTATCAAATTATTTTCAGCCATTGTATACATTGTACATGTATATCCTTGTACTGTGACCTTAACTGGCTGGGGGTTCCGCAAGGTATTTTTTTCAAGCAACTACTTTGAGGAATAGCTTACCTGAGCTGCTACCGAAAATGTGGAAACTTTCCTACTTTCAAGAAAGACAAGGAAGATATTAAACTAAACTGTTTACTGTATTAAAGTATGTTGGCACAAGTCCATGTCTCCCTATGCTCATATGAAATTGCATTATTAACTCAGACTACAGTGTATATGTATGAGCTCCATGATATTATACACCTTGCTTCTTTAAATCAAGAACCATTATTATACATGTTCTGCCTTGAGAACATTTTGAAAACTAATACAAACCATTTTATTCAGAATATAGATGTTTGTATATTAACACCATACTAATGATTACGTATCACCATCATACATTATTCACGACCATGTAAAGTGTATAATGAATGACTGAAAGGTTGGGGGAGGTGTGACATTCTCATAGAACTCCTGAATTTTAGTGATTTAAGATATGTATTTATACAAAAATATTCACACACTAGAAAATGAATTTGAAGAGAAGTTCATAAGTACTTTTCAGCACAACTATAATAATAATATGATATACAACATTTATATAGCGCCTTATATAATTTGTAAAATTACTCTAAAGCGCTTTACAACATATATTGGATAATAGTAATAGTTATAACTGTGAAACAAAAACAATGGCTTGCAATCACTTTTATACATTTAAGGAAGCAATGTGCACATAATTGAACAAATAAAGGGTGGTATTTACATGACGTCTTTGCAAGGATTCTAAAATGCAGACGTGAAGAGGTGAGTTTTGATGTCCCTCTTGAACTTGGCCAGGGTATTTGACTGTCTAATAACAGATGGTCACAACGTGGCCGAAACCCTCCCAAAGCACCTGTTTCCGTAGGTCACAGTACAAGACTTTGGGACACACAACAAAGATTTTGACTCCAATCGCAGTGACCGTGACGGCTGATACAGGGTAACAAGCTCCTGTAGGTACTGAGGAGCTGTTCCATTCAGTGCCTTGTATGTGTACACCAGAATTGTGTACTGCGACCTGTATCGTACAGGTAACCAGAGCAACGACTACAGATAACTATGTGTTAGAGACACCTAGCTGACTTTTTATTTAAGGATTTGTATATGAATTCTAATGTTTTAAGACAAGTTCTAATGTTTTAAGACAAGGCATTAAAGCCATGTTGGTCTCTGTGGAGTATAACATATAGATACATAGAAGTGATGTTGTAAATTACCAGCCAGCTTCATGTTAGTCAACACCTACTTAGGTATAAGGAGGAGGCAACTATCTCACCTGAAAGTTCTCTAAGGCCAACTGTCTCACCTGTGGGTTCTCTAATACCAACTTTCTCACCTGAAGGTTCTCTAAGGCCAACTATCTCACCTGAAGGTTTTCTAAGGACAACTATCTCACCTGAAGGTTCACTAAGGCCAACTGTCTCACCTGTGGGTTCTCTAATACCAACTTTCTCACCTGAAGGTTCTCTAAGGCCAACTATCTCACCTGAAGGTTTTCTAAGGACAACTATCTCACCTGAAGGTTCACTAAGGCCAACTGTCTCACCTGTGGGTTCTCTAATACCAACTTTCTCACCTGAAGGTTCTCTAAGGCCAACTATCTCACCTGAAGGTTTTCTAAGGGCAACTATCTCACCTGAAGGTTCACTAAGGCCAACTGTCTCACCTGTGGGTTCTCTAATACCAACTTTCTCACCTGAAGGTTCTCTAAGGCCAACTATCTCACCTGAAGGTTTTCTAAGGACAACTATCTCACCTGAAGGTTCACTAAGGCCAACTGTCTCACCTGAGGGTTCTCTAATGCCAACTATCTCACCTGAGGGTTATCTTATGCCAACTCTCTCACCTGAAGGTTCTCTAAGGCCAACTGTCTCACCTGAAGGTTTTCTAATGCCAACTATCTCACCTGAAGGTTCATTAAGGCCAACTGTCTCACCTGAGGGTTCTCTTATGCCGACTATCTCACCTGAGGGTTCTCTAATGCCGACTATCTCACCTGAGGGTTCTCTTATGCCAACTATCTCACCTGAGGGTTATCTTATGCCAACTATCTCACCTGAAGGTTCTCTAAGGCCAACTGTCTCACCTGAAGGTTTTCTAATGCCAACTATCACACCTGAAGGTTCATTAAGGCCAACTGTCTCACCTGAGGGTTCTCTAATGCCGACTTTCTCATCTGAGGGTTCTCTTATGCCAACTATCTCACCTGAGGGTTATCTTATGCCAACTATCTCACCTGAAGGTTCTCTAAGGCCAACTATCTCACCTGGAGGTTTTCTAATGCCAACTATCTCACCTGAAGGTTCTCTTAGGCCAACTATCTCAACTGAAGGTTTTCTAATACCAACTATCTCACCTGAAGGTTCATTAAGGCCAACTGTCTCTCCTGAGGGTTCTCTAATGCCGACTTTCTCACCTGAGGGTTCTCTTATGCCAACTATCTCACCTGAAGGTTCACTAAGGCCAACTGTCTCACCTGAGGGTTCTCTAATGCCGACTTTCTCACCTGAGGGTTCTCTTATGCCAACTATCTCACCTGAAGGTTCTCTAAGGCCAACTGTCTCACCTTAGGGTTCTCTAATGGCAACTATCTCACCTGAAGGTTCACTAAGGCCAACTATCTCACCTTTCAGAATATTTGTTGTACAGATATTAAATACAATTAGAATTGGGCAACAGGCAAAGCCTATACAAGCCCTCTCCTTACAATATTTAACAGTTCATACACATCATGTTTATATAGCTGCTATGGTTAAAAGAGGAATGTCTTGATTTCAGTCTGATTGTGCTGACATGGTCTGGAGGCCAGAACAGACTTATATTCTGTGTACAACTCTTTCACTCTATTAGTTTAACTAAAACA